TCGCTTCCAATAGGAGCAATTACTACTCCAATATTTTTACCCCATTTTACTGTTCTGAGATCGCTAATCTTATAAAAAATACTATTATAAGGTACTATAAGAATATGGACCTAAAAAAGCCTTACCATCCCTATTGATAGTGGAGGTCACTGAAACCCATTTCACCAAGCATTAGTCTTGGCTTTTAGTCAATATACAATCTTTTTTCTCTTATTGTGGATGTCTGAAAGTTTACTACCTCACCAATTTTAAGGCTCTTTTCCTTCATGAAATGACTCTACCCTTTAGTGAACATGTAGTTTTGGCTACTATTTTAATATGAATAATATAATCTCTAAATTTTTTCCCTCTCGTTCACGAAGTTTAACAAAATTCCTTTCATCGAAGTGCTTCTGCTTGGTAAATACAAGTGCTTCATAAGATACTGCTTCGTTATCATTATCTAGTTTAGCTTCCCAACTCAGTAGAAGTCACCGCCATATCAAAGAACTACTTTTGGCACCCACTTTGACCTAAAAGGGTACTGCCACTACTAGTTTGACCATTACAATAGAAGTAGTTGCTATTTGAGTCAATGTTATAGTTTCACTTGCTTTATTGGAGCTCGTCTATAGTTCTGTTTATTGGAAAGCAAAAAATGAATAAAGATGAAGATGGAGAGTCAAAGCGATGACATTAGTGGACTCTGAGATCTAAGCACTATGTAAGATAATTCCATTTTTCATACATTTTTTAATGATGTTAGCTTTGAAAATTAAAACTTTAACGATTAGATTATAACATTAGCAACAGTTTGATGATTAGATTGTGTATTTACATTAACTTAGATAATGTAGTCATGAAGTTAATTAGATCAATTTAGGATAAATCAATCAATATTTTAATCTTTAAATTAAAGATAATTTAGCTATGTTAATGTACCAAAAAGAAATAAAATGAAAAAAAAAAGTAGAGATAGAAAGGATTTTCTCTTTGAAGCCTTATCACATATAGGTTTGGGAAAAAAAGTTTCTTTCAAAACCAATCAATCTTTTATGGTTGATTTAATGAGATATTTTTCACTTCTATCTCATCTTAGAACCTCTATAATTGCTTGAACCTAAAGAGCTCTTGCTAACATTTTAGCTTCTAATTTGAAAATAACCCTTAAGAAAAAGTGTTATTTGTAAAGTAAGTTACTACTATTTCTAAGTTATGCAAGACAAATTAAAGAAGAATATCCCTTTTTGAACATAATTTAATGTCATACATAGCTTCAAGGGAGATCTAGAGCTTACTAAAGAAGTAATGGAAAAGGAAATGAAAAAATCACTTTAAATGCTAAAGAGTTTTTGACCTAGTTTAGGATGCTTCTGTTTCATATGTCCGAATGTGGTGTCTAAACTTGCTTATATGATTTTCTTAGTTTGATTAAATGGATGTTATGCCATATTTTTGCATGATATTAAATATCTAAGATCATATGGTTGTATGATATTACTTGAAGGGTTTTATTTAATGTTAATAAAATAATTCCCATGAAATGTTCATCCGTTTCATATGTATCATATAAAAGTTTTAAATGTCGTTGTGAATGTACTAATCAATTTCATCCTTACTTAAAAATAGATTGTTAAGGAATTTCAATAAAACCAACTCTTGTATTACCTCCAATCTTTAACATATGCATCCACATATATGAAATTTTTAATTCCTGAATGAATTATTGATGATTTTTCATTATTAAAAAGTTGATATCTCATCTTAATTAGAAGATAAGTTACTTAGTTCAGTCTAAAAAAATAAATTTTAAAACTTGTAATATTATTAGATGGACTGTTTTGAATATTTTGAAGAACCATCTCTCTTGAGAAGTGATAATTAAAAAAAAAAAGACTAAAGGAAAAACCTAACAAATGAAAGAAATCGGTAAAATATTATGTTTTTATCAATTAGTTTAGTTAGTTTTTAATTTTAAAGAAGTAGAATTAGTAATCGAAATATACATTTAATTCTTTTTTTATCTTATAGATTTAATTAAAAATAATTAAATATTATGTTTATATTATACTTAAAATATAACAAAAATATATATCATATAATTAAATATTTATAAAATTATTTATTAGAATTCGATCTTTTTAGTTGCAACCGAAATAAGGTAACCAGTTCGATCCTTCTTAATTTTTGATTTCTAATAAATATTTTGATAATTTATTTCTCAAAGTTAGAAAAACTTTGGATTAAATTGATCAAAAAGAGGGAATGTTCACTCCAATTCTTTTGTATCTATGTCTAATTTTAAATACGAAATGAAAATTATTATCGCAAATAATAATTTTAATCAATAAATAATTTTCAAAATTTAAAAATACGAAATTAGTTCACATTTACTATTGCAAATAATATTCAATTAACTTCAGTATCCACAGCATTGCTCTCACCAGTGCAGTCGGAACAGAGAACCAAACCTTATCCAATTCCCCCCTCTCCAGCGTTTCTCCTCCTCTGACCCAACCCCGTCTGCTGTCTGCAGCGGAGAACTCAACGTTAATGGCTGTCGTAGCCTGTGCGTACAATCTCTCTCAACCACCATCCGCCTCAAAGGTACCAATCTCTCTCTATTTTCTATTCTGTGTTTTTTGTCGCCGATTCATGCGTATGAGAGATGCAATCTGTAGCTTGATAAGGTCTTTTGTTTTTGTTTTGATTCGGTTTCTTGTAAATGCATATTTTTCCAAAATTTATTGTCGGTTTGTTCAGTTTTGTTGAGTTGAATCCTATTATTACAATTAACCAAGGGTTAGAGAAAAGCATGAACCGACATTAAATGAGTAATTTCTACGGCTGAGGACTCTTAAGATTTTGTTGGTGAAGTTCATGGGAAATTCATAGCTCTCAGCAGCTCTCTGTGATGACTGATTCAATTTATATGTATATATGATGTGTGTGTGTGTATGTGTTTTTTTTTTAAAAAACTTTTCTTTTAAGCCCTGATGAAAACACTTCTAATCTTCAAATTAAAATTGATTTAATGCCGCATCTACAGTTTTCTTTGCTAGCAAATTGTGTTGCAACTATTATAAAATAATTTATGAGGAGCAGAAGGAAAAAGACACTCAAAGATTAACTGCGTTCAGTGGATTTCTTGCGGATGAAGAGAATGTGCAAGAGATTCTTATTGATTAAGGATAAAGTATTTTGAATAATTTTCACTAAAAATCTGTTATAGAAGTTGTTTCAGTTGAGCTATGTAATTTCCCTTGGTTATATAGTTTTTTAGCTTGCTCTTGTTCTTGCAGATTGATTGTGCTTATGAACAATCAAATTCAGTTCAGAAACTTTGGATCCTCCCTACCACCAACCATTTGGAAAGATATGGAGAGATGTATAAACACAAAAGGAAGCAGAAAGTCATGGAATCCTTTCCTTTTAAAGCAACCCAAATGTCAAAATATATATCTTCACTAGTGGCAACTAATAAAATTTCTCAGTTCCCATCATCAACAAGAAACTTGTTGCAGAATCGTGTCTGCTTATCACGCAAAGCACCTATACATGCAACACTGAATAGCCCAAGAGGCTTTGGACGTCCCCCGAAGAAAACCAAGAAGAAAAAGAAATCAAATCCTGGATGCAATGTCAATGAAGATGAGGATGAAAAAGAGGAAGATGAAGATGGAGAGGCAGGCATAATTCCTGAGATAGTGACCAATAGAATGATTAGCAGAATGGGATTTTCTGTGGGAATTCCACTATTCATAGGGCTTTTGTTCTTCCCATTCTTTTACTATCTCAAGGTGGTTTTGAAGATTGATGTTCCTACCTGGGTTCCCTTCATTGTTTCATTCATTTTTTTCGGAACTGCTCTCTTGGGGGTCAGTTATGGTATTGTTTCTTCTAGTTGGGATCCCGTGAGAGAAGGGTCATTGTTGGGCTGGAATGAAGCTCAAAAGAACTGGCCTGTTTTCTGGCAATCCCTTTGGGGTAGATCAGGCAAGAAGTAGCAACTAACTCTTGGTTTCTTGCCTGTATTAAGTCGGTAAGATCATCCTCTGTCTTTAGGTTATATTTTTGGCTGCTGCATAACTTAAAATTCTGATGAGATTTGAATCTTTTAACTGGTAAGTTCTGGGTGCTTTCTTGCCATTTATGTTTGCTTCTGGTGGAATGAAGCTTGTATGCAGTAGGTAGAGTGTACAGATTGAACTACATATTCTAGTGTCCTTAAAGAGATATTGGTAATGGTATATCTATGCTATGGGTGCATCTTGTACAAGTATGTTTGCCAAGATTACCTGTACCCAAGTAAATAAATTATTTTCGTTACACTATCTACCATTAGCCAACATAAAATTAAATATATATTTTTTTATTTCTAATGTTAAATATAATTTGATTATCATGTAACATGTCTTATGACAGTAAAATAATGATATTAATTTTAATAATTAAATGATATTTAATTGAAGATAATAAAATTTTGGAATCTTAATTACACATTTGTGCAGAAGTTATACCCTCTAATATATATGTACCCAGTAAATTAGGAACTTGTGTATTTATATAATAGATGCATTATTCACTTCTTACAAGCTTCTCAAGTTTATAAAACTTTAAACATTGTTAAAAACGAGGATTGTAATAACTCAATTAACTAACTCAGTATTACCAGAAACTCCAACAAGATTTATAATATAAATAGGTGCAAGTATTACCTTATTCCTTATTACACGGCACAATAATGTCCCTTATTTCTTTACTATGTCATTCACACTTCTATTTATGTCAAGCATTATACCTAAGGTATTTTTTATTCGAATGTTGAACATTGTAACTTAAGAAAAAATTGTCGCAAATACATTGAATTTGAGAATAAAAAAAAAATAACAATAAGAATAACTATAAATTGAGGAAAATATACCGAAAATTTTAACTTATATAAGTAAATCTCAACCTTCATGTGGGCATTGCATTCCTAAGAATTTATTTATCTTTATTTAATAAAACTTACAAAAGTAACACTAACAATCACTTCTTAATTGTGGGTCTAAAAAACTTTCATAGTAACATCGAGTCAACATTTGTTTTTCAAGTATTCACCAAAAAAATTTGCAACTATTTCAGTAAATTAATTAGAATTTTAGATGTTATTGATTAACTTTTATGATTACCTTAAAAAATGTGATAAAATACAGATATAATGAGTTAACGTACTGTGACTACTTCAAAACATATGAGATATCAATATTATAATGACATCTAAATATCAACTCAGACTATATGTATATGATAATTTAATCATGATAGTCATAAAAATGTACTACACTTCATATTACCAATAAGATACATCCTAAACTTTCCATATTGAACTTTACAATCATAATCATTTGTTCTTCTTGTTAATAAATTCTAGTACCTACCCCTTACAGTTGGGCATCTAAGACAAAGCTGCTACAGAAAGAATGTTGATGTGCAATTCCATAAATATATCTGAAACTTCAGAAAACTGCTCATCTTAATTATCTTGTTTACTTTTCAGGAAGCGTATAATCTTTTCTTTTGGTTCTCTTGGTTGTTTCATGCCTCTTATCTTGCTTCTCTTTAGGTTCTTTATCATTGGTTAGTTCATTTAATTATTCTTCGCACCTCAATTTAATAGCCTTTTACCTATTTGTGGGAATTGTTTTTAGTATTGCTCAAGAAGGACATTTCTATACGTTCTAATCTAATGTTGGCAAGTTGACTAATCTGTACTTGCAAATTTCTTACCGAGGTCTCTTTTCTTCTCATCAAGGCCTCTTGCCCTCCCATCTAGGCATTGTGTTCTGCGAGTCTAGTTTCTATATATGGGGTTCAAAACTCCAGGTTTGACTTCTTTTCTTGAGCCGGAAAACCAGGAGGTGGTTACTTTGTACTACCATGACTGCATGAAAAGTTTAGGTGATTTCCATATCGAGGACTGTAAGTGTTGCTATAGAGTATTTTTCCTATGAAGATTAGCAACATGCTAGCTTGCTCAAAGAAGAAATTAAAAGAAACGAGTTACTCGTTTGGTGGCGCCTATGGTAATGATGGTTGCGTCCATGAAAGTCAAATTTGACTAGAGTGGAGAATTCCAGTCTATCCATTTGTAGAGATAGATCGGTTGCCCATTTCCCGAGTTGCAGATTTCCAGTTTTGGCAAAGAATCCTCACTCTTAGTCCTGAAACACAACCCAAGTACTATCAGGGGCTACCTTCACTCTCTTCTCTCTCATTTCCTTTCTCTTTTTCTGTGCTTCTTCGTGCCTCCCCAGGTGCTACCTTCACAAACTTTGTAATATTAAAGACAATAAAATTTTAAAGAAGATAATATTTTCTACATGCGTAATCATCTTAGAAGGCTTTCTTGATAAGAACATAGATCAACGAAAAGCAAGGCAAAGAAGATTGAAGCAAGATTCCACAAAGATTTCTTACCCTTTCTCCCACTCAACTGCAAATGTTTTTGTCCTTTTTTCTTCTGCTTTGACAATAACCAAATACTAGCTTTACACATTCTTGGTCTTATCACAAGCAACCCAACAAAGACTTTTCTCCCTCTCCCTCTTATCTCCTAGCCTGTCATGAGGGAGACTCTATCTTCTTTTTTGGATTCGCATGAGGGCTATGGGGACAGGAGGGGGAGAGAAAGAAAGTCCTACAAAGAAGAGCCCAAAGGTTGGAACTTTAGCAAGACTCTCTTTCTCTTTCCCTTTGTCTCCTAGGCTCTCATGGGAGGAGATCAAAAGAAAAAAACTACAGGGATGAGTTTTAACTTAAGGGACTTCAAGGTACAATAGAGAGGATAGATAGTAATATTTTGCATGAGTGGCCATGGGATAGAGGAGGAGGGAGAGGAAGTCCTACAAAAGAGCCCAAAAGATGAACCTTTAGCGAGACTCGCTCTTTCTCTCCTTCTCTATCTCCTAGTCTCTCATGGGAGGAGATCAAAAGAAGAAATTGCAGGGATGAGTTTTAAAATTAAGGGGTTTCTAGGCATATATAGAGAGGATAGTCGGTAAATAGGGGGTTAATTTCCAAAACGCCCTTAAAATATAAAAATTAATTATTTAATAAAACTTTTTCAAAAATAAATAATTGTAAAAAAATTAAGATTATAGGAATATAAGAATAAACATTGCCCAGGTATTACGAAGTGCTACCTTCGCTCTCTTCTCCTTCGTGTCTCCCCCCGCTTGTATAACAACACATAATCCCCAGCATTTCCAGGTTCAATCTCAAAAGAAGCTGGCACTAGCAATCTCTGCAAGCTCAACCTCTCCATAATTCCAAATTAAGGCCGCTGCATCTGATCAAATATATTGGGTTTATCTTAATAGCAAACAAGCTAACACCCAGGTAAGTTCTAAAACTTATAATCAAGATTCATCTGGTTAGCATCATTCGTTTTTGGATCCATCTCTATTTTGGCCTAACCCTTAAATATCTACTAAAGCTAAGGAATCAGTAAAATCTCTACATAGCCGTATCACTCAAGTTTTTCTTTTTCTTCTTCTTTTGCAATAAACATTACAACAGCTGACGTAATTTCACTGTACTACCTACCAGCTTTTTGATATGGCTATGGAGAGATTTTACTGATTCTTAACTCTAGGAAACCTCTGTTTTGTTTAAATTCGAAGAATGGAGAAACCAACAACGAAATTGGGGATGTGAATGATCAGACAGTGAGATCAGATAGAGGACAGAGTAGAATTCTGTGAGGTGGCGTGGGTTTTCTGTAATTTATTTTAACGGAACTAACTACAATTTTTCGTAGTTTTTTTTAATCTTGAAATTTATAAATTTTTTTTCTTTTTTAATTACTTCATTACATAATAAATAATTTAAAATATTAATTGTTATTTGAGGCTGAAATTTTTTTTAAAAAAATTATTGGAAGTATCTCCTTCTTTCCCAACGTTTGTGTAATTGTCATATTTATAATTTACCATTAATATCTATAATTTTCAAACTCTATTAAAGATCAAATTTTAATAATATAAAAAAAAATTATTATTTTTTAGTTAAAATTTTTATAATGATAAAAATATTAATTAAATTAATTTTATAAACTCAAGAACCAAATTGTCATAAGAAAACCTTAAATACCAAATTATAATATGATAATAACATAACAAATAGTAAATGAATATAAGTTGTTTACTTACCGATTCGAGTGTTAGTAAAATATCTTAATTTTTAAATTTTAAAAGAAATAAAATAATACTACTAATATTATATTTTTTAAGTCCTTAAAAGTAGATAACTTTTTATTTAAACATAAATAATTATGAGTTTACAAAACTTATACTATTAAAAACCAATTAACTGTAGTTAAAATTAACATGACAATAGATTAAAAAGGCATAAAGAATTACTCAACAAATACTTGAAGAGTAGACAAAATCTTATAAAGAACTTGATAAAAACGCAGCATGATGTTAATGCTAGCATACATTAAAACATGAGATCTATTAATATAAGATATGCTCTTTTTTTATTCTAATTTTTAATTTTTTATTTTAACTTTTAAAATAAAATAAACTATGACATATTACAGGTCTCAATTATCTTTTACGATTAATATTACCAATTTATTTACAACATAGTTTGTATTCACTTAATTGTCTTAAAGAGGTATATGTACAGTAAACATATAGTCTCTCAAGTCGAGAAGCTTATCATAACTAGAGATAAAGAACCGTCATTGAAACATTTGCTTCTTGTTTGGTCATTAACATGAGTAGTCATAAAATGTAGCTCCTAATGTGCAAAACGGCACATCAGATTGCCATCCTCCTTCCAACCTACTTGATTCATCGAGTCTTGAACAAGCTGTCGATGCCTATTTCATTGTTTTTGCCTGTAGACAACAAAAAAAATGGATGTAGTTTTTATACAATTAACGAGAATGCACATTTATCTTAAAATATTATTTTTCTAGAAATATTAGTAGTTATTAAATAAACACACAAAACTAGTGAGCAGTGGAATAAAATATTTTTTTCTTGTTGATATATGTATATGCAACAAGTTACTAGAATTTGATTGAGGATTTTACATGGAGGATTGTGTTGAGCAGATCATATTAGAGAATTGAGTTACACTAAAATGTATTTTTAAGCTTTTACTTTTTTAAAGTGTGTTTATATATATATAAACACACACGAGAAGGCGAGACCTAGAATCCATTATGCAGAATATAAAGAAATGTTGGTAATAAGAATATAGTATAAGTGCATACAAATTAAG